ACTTCTGGTTTGTAGAGGCTTGCCCTTGAATCAGTTGTTGAAACATCGCTTGTACAGGATCAACTTGTTGTTGCAGCTGTTGCTGCTGAGGTGCAAAGCCCGGAGGGTACATTGGCGGATAACTCTTGTTTCCTTGCTGTTGCCCTTGGAAGTTGTTCTGCCCTTGCCCTTGTAAGCCACCACTCGGCTGGAAACCTTTGTTGTATGGTACGAAAGGCTTTGCTTGCTGAGCAGGGTACACTTGATCCTTGGGGTTTGCGACGTTTGTACTCCTATATGAGAGATTGTTGTTCGGGTTGTAGCCTTGGGAATAGCCGTGAGGTTTGTAGTTGTTTTGTCCCGCCACCCAATTGGCTTCTTCCTGGCTCAACTCAAGCTCCTCTTGGCTATCGTCCGCTTCACCAACGAAGTGAACATGCTTCTGGTTGGCTAACACCAGCTTGTCAATCTTCTCATGCAAGGATTTCAACTCTTTCTTGTGAGACTCTAGCTCAGAACCTCTCGGTGCACAGTCATAATCTTCAGCATAGTTGTCGTCACTCAATGCCAAGTTCTCAATCAGCTCCATGCCTTCTTCTACCTCTTGACCAAGGAAGTTTCCCTTACTGGCCGTGTCAAGCAACAAGCGAATCTTTGGTGAAGCTCCGCGGTAGATAGTGCTTAGAAGAGTCTCTTCGCTGAAGCCGGGGTGAGGACACTGGATAGTGTAGTCCTTGAATCGCTCAATGGCTTCATTGAAAGTCTCATTGTTCCTTTGAGTGAAGCTGCTGATCTCGCTTCTCAGCCTTGCTGTTCTGGTGCTAGAGAAAAACTTTGAGAGGAAATCCTTCTTACACTCAGCCCAAGATGTAATGGTGCCTTGTGGAAGTGTCTTCTCCCAATGTCTAGCCTTGTCTCCAAGAGAAAATGGAAAGAGACGCAGCTTGAAAGCATCCTCGGATATGCCGTTTATCTTGATCATCCCACATACTTGTTCGAAGTTATCAAGGTGTTCCAAAGGATCTTCCATTGCTAGCCCGTGAAACTTATTGTTTTGCACCACTGAGATGAATCCCAGCTTAATCTCTAAATTGTTGTTCTGTACAGGAGGAGGAGTGATCCCAAACCTATTGTGATGGGTGTTGGGAGCATCTCCCGCTCCTATGATCCTTGGGGGTCTAGCTGCGTGTTGGGGGTTTCTATTACCCCTTCCCACTGCCCCGTGAACTGGAGGAGGTCCTTCTGGATGCTCGTGCTCAGCCATAGCTTCAAAGTCAACCAAACCGTGCTGAACAATCTCCTCAAAGGCTCTGGCTTGCTCTCTAACTCTTCTTTGTCGTGAGTGTCCGAGTTGGTGAATGTTGTCCAAGGGTTGAAGTAGATTGTTGTCTCCCCTTGAACGAAGATTCATGTACCTGAAAGACACACGTTTGAGAGTAGAGAAATTAGTAACTTAAACAAAGTAAAGGCTTAGTCTTTACTAAACCCCAAATCTCATTTCTTTCTATACACTCCTAGAATGGCAACGACGCCATTTGATAACAACTTTTTATCTAGGATGAGCAAATGCAACAGGAGGTTATCAAAACTCAAGCAGCATACAGTTGTAGCATAATGCAAGAGGTATCAATCCAATCCTAAGGGCTAGAAAGTGCAATGAGAATGCAAGGGTCATGTAAAGCTAAACAAATGATGAATAATTTGAGAAATTCCTAAAAACTAGATGCAATGATTAAATGCAGGGCAAAACTATTTTAAAAATACTATAAGGGATTAAATTACTACTAGGAACAGACCAAACAATAAAAATGCATAGCTAGGGATCTATAAAAATCGACTAGTGGGTCGACCACTGGATCGACCACTAGATCGAGCAATAACGATCGATCTAAAAAGCAGTTTAAGCAAAAGCGAATCTAATGACCAAGGTGCGCGCAAGCAACAAGCAAATGATCAACATAGACTAAGAAATACTAAAAGGAGGGTCCATGGTCGAGATTCATGTTCAGGGGTTTCAAAGGTTTAAGCTTGGGTTGAAAACTTTAGATATACTCACTTGGTGAGGTTCCCTAAGCCTTGAAAACAAAACAAGATCCATCTGTGGCTTTCGGTATGGATCACTCCTTCATTCTCTCCTCCTGACCCATGGCGTTTGGTGGAAGAAGAGATTGAAGGGCAAGGAAACCATATTTCAAACACGCGGCTTAACTAGTCCTCTAAACTACCATGGCGTTTGGGAAAGAGTAACTAGTCTCTAGGATGCGATTTTCAGAGATCTCTGGATCCTGTCAAGGTAAGAGGTCTCTCTGATCATAAAGATCTTGGCGTGAGACTCTTTAAGCCTTAAAAACTCGACATCCTAGAAGAGAAAGCCATGAAGAACAATAAATCACCAAACTTGAAAACCTTTTCGACCCCTTTGAATCCTCTCAACCCCAAAACCCAATGAAACTACTCGCGACTCATGAAATAAACCGTACGAAATGCAATAAACGAAGAACTAAACATGAAGAACGATTGATTTAGCTTAAACGATCCAATATTCAAAAGTAAACACAAGAAAAAGCTCGAAGTCTAACAATGACGAATCGCCTCAAAACGAGAGAGATGATAAAAAGTAGTTGACAAAACGGGATAATGAAAGGGATCGTTGGTCTTTGCCTAAAATGGCCAAACCGCAAATGGTCCCCCCCTTCGCTACAGTCCAAAAACAGGCTGGACGGATAAGGTTGGTCTGGGATCGATCACGAAGCTCGATCTGGCAATCGATCACATCCTGAATCGGGCGGCCCTTGGTCGATCTCCGAGTCAATCTTGTGCTGATCGGGTTGGAAGCTCGATCCGGTCCTTGATCTGCATGGCGTCGTCTACGTCCGTACTCCAAATCGATCTCCATACTCGATCTTCTGGTCGATCTCGTCTGGATCGATCTGCCTTGCTCGATCTGCTACTCGATCTCAGGTCCTTAGCGTGCAATCCTGATTTCTCCAAGTGTCCACGAACTTCCTCACGAGCCTCAGCACGTCCACGAACCCTCCAAGACTCCAAAGTAGCCGAAAACAACCTGTATGCGATGCAAAATGCAAGAAATATGCATACGCTGGTGCAAGAACACTTTAGGACCTAAAGTGATGCAAACTAACCTAAAATGCAATGTATATGCGTGAGAAACTAACTTATATGTATGCAAAATGCATGGAATATGCAGCTATATCACTTGACATGCTCGATGCACTTGGTAGATGTTAAATCCAGTCCTCTCGGGTGCATTACATCGAGTGATGTTGATGTTTGATGTAGGTTGTCCTGTGGTTTGACATCAAGCAGACCTTCTTGATGTGGATGCTCGATGTGATCTTTTAAACTCTCGAGTGCTTTACATCGCTCGATGTAAACTCCATCTTGCTCGATGTTGAACCAGATTCTCACTTCCTTAGCTCATATTGATCCTCTTTGACTAGGGCAACTCCCTGAATCATTCCTATGCTTCCTCCTTGTCTTTAGAGGCTTCTTAGGTACCTAAAACATCATTTATGCAAATCTGATGCGAACTACAACCTAAATGCAGCCTAAGTCTAAGAACAAAGGAAAATGGGACAAAAGCAAAGGAAAATATGGAAGAGAAGACCAAAACATAAATTAAATGCAAGCATATGTGATGCAATTATGAGAGATATCATGGTTGTTGGAAATCCACAACAATTTAAGGGTTTTTTTTAACAATACAAAGCTGCTCGACGTCGACTCTGTGTTCAAGTTACAGAGATAGAAAAACAGAAGTGATGGATCTAAGCATGAAGACGAAGACGAAGCCAATTAGGAGAAAGTGTCAATGTGTGAGGGAAATCAAGATGACGACGAGGAATGCAGGTTTTACTGTTGCAATGATTCGGATGGAGCTACATCTGATGACGAAGACCTTAGCTTGTATGGAAAGCCTCCGGAGGAAGAGAACGAGAAGAGCACAAAAACAGTTAAAAAAGAGTTTTCACGACAACAAGCAATGAAACAAAGGGAACTCATCCACATGTGAAACTAGAATTGAATTCACTAAATCTAGTCGTTGGACAACATTATGAAATAAAAGATGTTTTAGAGACAAGATTGAAGATTTTGTCAATCTTACATCAGTTTGATTTCAGTGTAGAGAAATCAACACCATGTTTGCTAATAATTAAGTGTTGGGTGAATGGATGTACTTGGAGGGTACGAGCTTCACCGGTCGGAAATTTTCCCTAATTCTATGTTCGTGTCTATGTTGTGGAACATACATGTTCTATTACGGAGTGTTCTTCTTGTTCTCGACAAGCAACTCCAGAGATATTGGAACTATTGTACAAAGATTTCATTGGTGGTGTTAGAGCTAAATTTTTTGCCAATTCATGTTGCTGATACATTAAACATGCGATTTGGTATCAAGGTGTGTGTTAAATGTGGCTATTGCACTAAATTTACCATTTATTCGATATAAGAACAGTACAGTTTTTTTTCTATAACTAAATGGACTATTGGAAGGCTCACAGGACACTTAAACAAGCACAAGATTTGGTTAGAGGAACTTTGGAGGAAGGATATTCTGAATTACCTGTTTACTTACACATGAGAAGAAAAGAAAATCCAGGTACATTTACACGCCTAGAAGTTGATGACAATCAAAGATTCAAGTATCTTTTTCTTGTGTTTGGTGCTAGCATGAATGGATTTCCCTTCATGAAAAAGGTGATGGTCGTTGATGGCACATTTTTGCAGGAAAAATATAAAGGAATACTTCTTATTGCCACTTCCCAAGATGGAAGCTTTTAGATATTTTCAATTGCTTTTGCAATAGTCGATACTGAAAATAATGAATCATGGAATTGATTCTTCAAGCAAGTTTATTGTGTGATCTTTGATGGTGAAAGATTAGCAATTATTTCTGATAGGCAAAAATCAATTGGTAAAGCAATTACAAATATATATCACCACCAAAAATTAATTAAAGAGAACAAAAAATATAAATCACTTAGAATTTTCATTACCTACCACTTGATACCTCCATCTCCTCTTCTTCTCTTCTTACCTTCCACCAGATCTCACTCCCCACAATTCAAAATTTTCTCCTTTTCCTGAGAATTAATGAAAATTTCCATATTCATCTATTTGCTGGGCAAGAGAATTTTTATTTGGATATTTTTTTTTTTTTACTTTTACTATAGTTGTTGTGTAGTTGTTGTAGTTACATGACAGCTCCTTACAAACTTAGATCCCATAGTCGTTTCTTCTACATTGACACTTGCCTTAAGAGGGGGGCAAAGAAAGGTCTTGTCTCTTTGTCTGAGCTGTACCATTTTCTTGGTTTGTTGCATCTCGGATTTTGCTACTTTACGGTTTCTTTTCCTGAAAATTTTCTCTCTTCTTTCAAATAAGGATCTGGAAAGAAAAAAATCTCAAGATTTGTAAATGGGTGCGAAGCCTTCAAAGATCTGAAATTTTAAGAGGTAATAATTAATGAATCATTAAATTCTCATCTTCTTTGGTACTTACTCTGTTTCTGTGTTGTCTCACTATATATATTTAATACAATTATTATTGCTTGTGTTTTTGCATCTTCGAATTGGGCAACTAATTTGCTTTGACAAATGCTATTCTTTACATGTCCTTGATTTTAGCTCCTTCTGTTGTCCTGTTGTGTTATTCTGGGAAATTTTTTTGTCTTCCTGTGAGTAAATTTCTGTTTGGATAAATTCGGGACCACAATAGCACAAACTTGGAGACTCTCTTTATTGGGACTCTCTTTGTTTCATGATTCTGATTTTCTAGTTCATGTTGTTAAGTTTAGGAAAAATGGATAGTGAACTTAAAAGCCAGCTATCAAGAGAAACACATATCTTTAGACTTCAGGTCTGGGAAGTAATTGGAATAGCTGTTGCATTGATCATCATAGCCATACTATCGGTTCTTTCGTTTTGTCTTACTTCGGAAAAGAAATCAAGAAGATCAAAAGCCGGACTTCCTGTTATACGAATCCCTCAAGTCTCCAAGGAGATCAAAGAAGTAAGAGTTGAGCATGTCTCAGCAAGTAACTTTGCTCCTCGTGAAGGCATTCTTCTCACAATCCAGGACAAAAACAACAAAGACTCAGACAAAGTCTTGGTTCATTTGGATATGGGGAAGAAGCGAAAGAATGGTGCAAGTAGTTGTAGCCGGCCAGGCTCGTTTCACTATCTAGAGATGATAGATAAATATTCTGAGTCAGGTGAAGAAGTTTCTGTAAACCAACCTTCTTCATCATCATTGTATAACATTGCAACTCCATCTCCATTGTCTGGTTTGCCTGAGTCTCATCTTGGTTGGGGCCACTGGTTTACATTGAGAGATCTTGAAATAGCAACTAATAAATTCTCAAAGGAGAATGTTATTGGTGAAGGAGGTTATGGAGTTGTTTACAGAGGGGAGTTGATCAATGGAACGCCTGTTGCAGTTAAAAAGATTCTTAATCAGTTGTGAGTTCTTGTTTACAAGAGTCTAAATTTCTTTTGCCTTTTTATGGTTTGTTTCCACAGATGATTTTTTGCTTGATTGAAAACAGGGGACAAGCTGAGAAAGAGTTTAGAGTTGAGGTTGATGCTATTGGTCATGTCCGTCACAAGAACTTGGTCCGTCTTCTTGGTTACTGCATTGAAGGCACTCACAGGTATAAAGATTGAATCTTACTCTGTTTTAGATAGTTAAAGAACCGAATTTGTGAGTTGCTGCTCACTGAGATCAATGGTAGGATATTGGTTTACGAGTATGTTAACAATGGAAACTTAGAACAATGGCTTCACGGAGCAATGAGACAACATGGTTACCTAACTTGGGAAGCGAGGATGAAGGTTCTCATCGGTACATCGAAAGCGTAAGTATTCCTTTTTACAATCACAAGCCTCATTTCTTCTTCTCACATACTGATCATCCTCTGTTTGTGAGTAGCCTTGCATATCTGCATGAGGCAATTGAGCCAAAAGTAGTACACAGGGACATCAAATCAAGCAACATACTGATCAACGACGAATTCAACGCAAAGGTTTCAGATTTCGGACTTGCTAAATTGCTTGGCGCTGGGAAAAGCCATGTGACAACACGAGTTATGGGAACATTTGGGTGAGAGAGGCTATTTAACTGAAATCAAGAAAGGCTTTTAGTATCAAAGCTTAGTGCTCAAGAAATCGTTTTTGTTAATGTTTTGCAGGTACGTTGCTCCGGAATATGCAAACACAGGACTGTTAAATGAAAAGAGCGATGTATATAGCTTCGGTGTTGTTCTCTTAGAAGTAATCACGGGACGAGACCCCGTGGACTACGGCCGTCCTGCTCATGAGGTAGTAAAAACTATTTTCATTCGTTCTTAAATTGAAAACCCAACAAATTTTACAATAATCCTCTAGATATATTAATTGAGAAGCAATTTTATAGAATAACCTTAGTTTTAGTTTTGTAAGTATTTACAGTGATGTCATTATAAGGATGTGTCACCACCATAAAGCTTCTCACAAAATTTTAAAAAAGACACTTATGTTACTAGATTAATTACATGATACTAGATGAGTACCTGCCTAGATGCACGAAATTTTTTTTCATAATATAATTTGTTGAAAAGTGTAGTCACAATTTATTTTATCGTATATTTAAATTTTTCTTAAAAATATTGTGTATTTGAATAAACATACAATAAGTATTTACATATTATGTGGATATTAGCTATATATGTGATAAATGTTTTATTGTTAAGGAAATGTGAAATATGTTATTCCTTGTATATATAGAATATATTAAATGGATATACTGCAAATCAGACAAATACTATATAACAAAAATTAATTAGAGAAACTATTCAATCACAATATAGGTAGAGACGACCATTTTTAATAGGTCGTATTTGTTTACAGCACAGATTTACACAATAGCAACACCGTCGTTTTATATGTTTATTAGCTTAAATAATTGATTTATAATTTTAATTTATATAGCTGCATTAAATATTTTATAAATAAATATATTAGAACTTTGATATCTTATTAATTTAAAAATTATTAATGGATCAAATTTTAATAAAATAAACAAGATAATAATCCGCACCATGTGCGGAATAAAATAATAATTATTTATTTAATATGATATAATTTTAAAATCATATACCAAAATACAACTGATTTTATATGAGCTGTTTATAACATTATGCTGTAATATTGACAAAATATTTTTTTTTGTTTATGTTATGAATTTTAAGGTAATTTAATTCTATTGTAAATTAATTTAAAAATTAAATATTTATGCGCAATCTGGATAGAAATACGAAGTTTCTCTTTATATTTTCTATAACCCATGATTAATAACATGATCTAAAAATTAAAAAAAATAGAGGGAGTATATTTTGATTAAATTATTAAGAATCTAATGCGTTATGATAATAATAATTTTTTTTTACTGCTTCCTCTGTTTCATAATATTAGTATTTTTAGAAAGTTTTGTTTTGATTCACAATATAATTGTTATCATATTTTTTATTACTTCCTATGAATACTATGTGACCGATTATATTTTTCATTTTTTCATAATTAGTTGAATTATATTCAATTTATATACTAAATGATTACTTTTTAAAAAGAAAAGTTGCTTTTTAATCTTTGTGCTTTGATGCAAAACAACTTATATTTTGGAAATAGAGAGTACTAAAATTGTAAAAATAAAATTTGATTATAAAATTTCATAGTCGATTTTAATATTTCTTATACGAATGGAAATGTATATTTACATTAACCCGCAAAATTTATAGTCATAAGAATATTAACTTTTAAGAAAAAAAATTATTGTGAAATTTATTGTAAATACTAAATATACATAAGGATAAAATAAAAATAGATTATATTTTTCTATAATTTTTAATAAATTATTTAAAAATTATATATAACTGAGTCAATGCTTATACATTCTTAACTTTTTGATTCAATAAAAATATTTTTAATATCAAAAAGTTTGTTAAAATTATTATATAATATCTTTACAAAAATATTTTAATTTGCTACCAAGTTATTTTGTTGTATAAATTAAAAATAAAAATATCTATTAAATTAAGCTTCTTATTTTTTTATTATTTTTATATTGATATATGAATCATCTATCTACACATCCTTATTTTTAATTTTAGTCTTTTAAAACATACTTTTATTTATTAATCATTTGAGTAATTTATATTTGTTTTATGAAATTTGAATTATAATATATATATATATATTACTATACGAATGATGTGATGATTTATTTTTCTATAAAAATAAGAGATAAAATATAGTATTTAAAGAAATAATTAGTATGATATATTTTTGGTAAGAATGAAAAAAGAGAATATTTTGATGAATCATCATCAATATAATTGATATAAACTAATGTATAATCAAATTAATGTGAGTGGCATAACCTGTAATTAATCTAGTAACATAAATCTATTTTTATAACTTTGCTGAAAATGATTCTGGTGATGACACATCAGCAAAATGGCACCACTGTAATATTTTACAAAATTAAGGTTATTCTTTAAAAATGCTTCGTTTTTAATATATAGGAGATTATCAAATAGTTATTAGTTTATAAAGAAATTATTTTAAAGTTTATTATAATATTGTATAAATTTTTCTTCTAACTTTTTTAGGTTCAAAATATCAAATAATTGTTATTTTTATATAATATTTTTATAATAATAATTTATAATATTAATTAAAAATAAAAAATACTCTTAAATAAGAAACATAATTTTTTAATGATTTAAAAAAATTACCACAAATTAGATATTCAATAATTATTTTTGGATATTAAGTATATATTGTTATTAAAATATATTATTTAATACTTCATATTTTTCATATTCTTTTAGTATTATGATTAATAATACATAAAATTTATGTATTAAATTTTATATAATTTGTATCATTAAATTTTAAAATAAACCAAAATGATGAAGTGACACTCATATGGAGAGAGTTGGCCATTTTTATAGTATACATATCATTATACATTTTTTGTTAGTCTAACAATTAAATTAAACGCATGTTATTCAAATATTAATCTTTCTATGCAAATATATAGTATACAATATTACATGAACTAAAAGATAATTTTAAAAAATGAAGTCAATAATCCAACAAATGTGTTTAAGTTTTCATATAATTTATTCAATTATATATATATATATATATATCTACATGCAACATATTTTGATAAATATCCTAATTAGCATGTAATTTTTCATAAATTACATATTAATATTTATATGTAAATATATGATTGCATTCAATTTTAAAAAAATTCAAATTAAATATATTATTATATAAAAAGTTTTAAAAGGTACATTTGTTTAAGAACCATTATGTGAAAAATATTTTTACTATAATGCATAAATTCACTCTAATAAAATCGGGAGCTAAATATTTTACATGCAAATATATGATTGTATTCAATTTAAGAAAAATTAAATTAATTATATATTATTACATTAAAGTTAGAAGAAATTACATTTTAAAAAAAATTATGTGATAAGTTATATATTAATATTTCATGAAAATATATTATTCTTTTTGATTTTTTTTTAAAATAGATTGATTATATATAATTACATAAAAAATTAAAATATACATGTGTTTAAAAACTATTATGTAAAATAGGTTTTTACAATAATACATAAATTCATTCTAATAAAATTGTGAACTAAATACCGAAAAAATACTATACATGAGACTCGAGTTTTAGACATCATCTTATCAAACAACATTATGAATCACATACAACCAACATATAAGTAACAATTTTTATGTTTTGCACTTATTTCAGTCTTCATATGATTATAATATTCTTTAACTAATATTCTTTATATGGTTTAATTTGGAAATTATAATGTTCAAATTAGACCTTCTAGTTTTTACTTTCTCCAAAACATCACTATCATTTCCAAAATAATCTAACAAAAATAAAATAATCGATACTTAATTATTTTATATAAAATATATGAATTCAAACAAATATACTATTAATATAACATATTATTTAAATTTGAAATTTAATCAAATTTATTATTAATTCAATCTACCACTTATAGTAAAGATTACCCCCATTCAAAATTTATGAGCCGTTTACCAATCAATCATTGAATGTAATAAATGCTAATTTGAAACAATATTGACTTAATTGAAGATGTAAACGGTTAGATTTTTAACTAATGATAAAATTTTAACTATTATTAATTTCAATAAAAACTATGAATGAATAAATGTGGCAATATAAATACTTTTCAGATTTTAACTATTAGATGCATCATTTAGACATTGTTTGTTTTTTTCTAAACTAGCTTTTACATTTAAATACAATATCTAGATGCAGCATTGTTTGTTTTTGAATTTATTAAAAAATATTTATACAAAAAAATCTCAAAACACCAAAAGTATATATAATTAAATCAAACTTTTTTCTAGCTATACTCGAAACAGTTTTACAATTTCAGCAAAAACCGCAATTTTAGAATTTTGGCACGTAAACACGATTTTAAAATGCTATTTCAGAAATTTGGCCATTATATATGGTTTTATGATATTGATGGAATACATGATAATCGATTTTGACAGATTTCACAGATTTACGAGTTTTGACCGTAAAATGTGATTTTATGAAAAATACGGTTTTACAGATTTGGTGAGAAAATGCGGTTTATCGAGTTTGGCAAAAAATATAGTTTTATGAGGTTTACTGGGAAACATGATGTTACGAGTTTTATGGATAACACGGTTTTGCGGATTTGACGAAAAACTTTGTTTTGCAGGTTTGGCGGAAAATATAATTTTACGAGATTTATGGAAAAATATGGTTTTGCAGATTTTATGGGAAGAGGTAGTTTTGCAAATTTGGCGGGAAAATCAAGTTTTATTAATTTTTGGTGAGAAAATATAGTTTGATGGGGTTTACGTGAAAAAATAGTTTTACGGGGTTTACGGGAAACCATAATTTTGCAGATGTGGCAGGAAACACGATTTTGCATGTCTCGTGGGAAAATACAGTTTTATGAATTTTAGCAAAAAACGTAATTTTGCAGATTTGGTGGGAAAATTGTAATTTTGTGGATTTGGTATAAACACATGATTTTAGAATTTCGACTGTAAAACACAATTTTATGGTGCTTTCGGAAAAACATGATTTTTGATTTTTTTGCAGAAAAATACAGGTATGTAATTTTAACAGAAAATTTTTGGTTTTGGTGGAAAATATTATATCAATGTTTTGGATACATATCCCGTTTTTAGAGAAAAAAATGATTTTATGTTTTCAGTGGGAAAATGTGGTTTTATGATTTCAATTGAAAACTTCAATTTTATGTTTTTACAAGAAAAGTTTATTTTCAGATTTATATCATATTAAAAAGTATTTTGACCTTTTAGTTTTTAAGATTCAACTGTTTCATTCAAACTCAAATATCCTAATTTTTACGATATTATTAATTTTGCATCCAAATGCAAAACCCAGATAATGGATTAATAGTGTTTAAAAGAATAATATATAAGCATTTACATATAGATACATCATTTGAATGTAGAAACAAACATAACATTATTATTTTTTCTGTGTCAAAAAATAATAATATGTACACAAGTATTATATACCTAAAAATTGAGCATTGGTGATAATATTGAATTATGTCATCAATCATATGATATTAAAAAAAAACTATATGGAAAAAACTATATGGCGACTTGGAATTTTGATCTTGCCGTTTTATATATAAATTGGATAGGGTCTTTTTTTAGCATTATATTATCAATTTTAAATCTATTGTTAATGTTATAGCGTAATATTATATAAACATAAATAAAATTAATTATATTATATTATATAAATTTAAAATTATATTAATATAAATAAATATTAATTCTTTCACACGGCACAACCTAATAGTATATTATTTAGGTTTGCGACTTTTACCCAAACAAAAGGTTTTTGAACTTTACACTAACCGAGATTTTCGGTTTTCGATTCAGGTTCAGATACTTAGGGGTGAACCCGATCGACTGAATTTCAAATTGATTTTATCTTTAGTACAGTTCAGTTCGGTCAAACCGAACCGGCCAGTTACATGTTTGTTTTGTTAAATATTTTTAAACCAAAATTATACTAAACTAGATTAGAAGCCGTGTATATACGGGGTTAGAAATTATTTCAAAACTTGTAAATAATAAATTAAAAACAAAAATAAATAACTTTAATTATATTTATTTATGTATTCATATACGACTTTTTGTTAGTTAAATTTTTTTTAACATGTGGTAAATTTTGATTTATTGACTCACATACATTCAATCATTTTAACTTTGATTGTGATCTCTATATACACTGATTTATATTAACTACTCCTACATAATCCATTAAAAAGAAACTGAATATATATAAAAAAAATGTAATTATATAATTGTGAATATTAAAAATTAAGATTTAGAACATTTTCGCAAAACCACTAATAATAGAACTGATTGAAGAAATTGGCTTTATCCTTTGTTGCATATTTACTTTTATATTTTTCACAAATATGACTAACATGAAAAAATAAAAAAATAAAATTATAACATTGTGAATATTAAAAAGATAAGATTGAGAACATTTTCGCAAAACCACTTATAATAGTACTGTTTAAAGAATCTGACTTTATCCTTCGTTGCACAGTTACTTTTATATTTTTCACAAAAAAAAATAAACATGAAAAAGTATAAAATAAAATTAGATGACTGCGAACATAAAAAAATAAGATTGAGAACATTTTCACAAAACCACTTATAATAAAACTGATTAAAGAAACTAGTTTTCTCTTTCATTCCTTATTTATTTTTATATTTTTCACAAAAATGATTTTTCTCTAACAAACTCTCATCGAGAATCTCATTTGGTAAAATGGTATCTGAGCAAAATTGGCTTTCTCTTTCATTTTTTTCCGTAATTCTGATTGTTTTTCATCGCTTCATTAATTTTTCATCTTTTCATAATGATTCGAGTTTAAAAGAAGAATCAGCCTAGAAAAATTAAAAAAGTTTTTATATATTTATAAAGATGTGAGTAATAGTTTTCTTTTTCTTTTAGGATAAGTCTTTACTTTTTAAAACTATTTATTCATTTTTAGTTGAAATATATAATTGTTTTTAATATATTCCTTTAATAGATATTGTAGTAATTATGTGTTTTTTTAATAATTATTCTATTTTGTAAATTATGTTTTATTTTTTCTTTAATCAAGACACGTGTCAAAATCTTAATCGAAAAACTTGACATGTGTCACGATCATGTGAATTATTAACATTCAAAATTGGCTATATATTTCAAAGAAAAATTGGCTTTGTCCTTTATTTTGCTTTCTCAATTCAGATTGTTTTTCATCGATTCATCAGTTTCTCATCTTATTCGTTTGATTCGAGTTTAAGAGAAAAATTAGCATAGTAAAATTGTATGAGATTTTATATGTTTATAAAGATGTGAATAATATTTTTTTGGAAAAAAGTGTTTTTTTCTTAATTAAAATATATATATATATATATATTTAATTTAGTTCTTTTCTTTTAGATATTGTAAAGGTTATAGTTTTTTTTTTTTTTAGCAATAGTGATAATTCATAGATTTATATATTTATTTTTAATTTAATCGTGACACATGTCAAAACCTGAATCGAATGATTTACCACATGTCACAATCAGTTGAATTACTAATTTTGATGCATCCAAATAATCAAAACACAGAGTCTGTTGCGGATCCTTAGCAATAATAGCTTGTAGTTCAACACTTTATTAACTATTTTTCTCTATTTTGCTGCATTGAAAACTTGGGTATGCAATTCAAGTCCTTCGATTATTTTGTTTGTTAAAAAATTATGAGAGATTTTATGTGCTTATATAGTTGTGGATTGCATTTTTCTTTAGTGTTTGAGCTTCTTTTTTCATTTTCCAAATTAAAATATCTTTTTCTATCAACTTTTGTTTTTTTTTCAAATGGTATTTTCCTTTTTCTTTTAAGATTAGTGTTTTAAGTTATATTTTTTTTCTAAACTGAAATATATTTTTTTGTTTATTTTTGTTTTATTTTTAATTTAATCGCGACACATGTCAAAATCTGAATCGAATTATTCAACACGTGTCACGGTCATACGAATTACTAACTTTGACGCATCCAACTTTATATAATAAGATCTTCTCCAATTATACCAAATTTAATTAAGATTATATTTAAAAGTCAGATTGTGGAACCGAATTATTTGGATATACTCAAATTTAAACAAAAACCTAAAACTTTAGTTAGTTTCGGTAAAAAAATTAATATCAAACTACCTGATAACCCGAACAGAACTGTAACTTATTTTCGTTATTTTCTCGAACCGAAAATCCTAAACTCTCAGGCCTAAACTATTATGTATGATGACTTTTGTACCGAATCATTTTCAGGTCAATCTAGTGGACTGGTTGAAGATGATGGTTGGAACGAGGCGATCCGAAGAAGTAGTGGATCCAAACATAGAGGTAAGACCACCTACAAGATCACTGAAACGAGCCCTTTTGACCGCTCTGAGATGTGTCGATCTGGATTCCGATAAACGGCCAAGAATGAGCCAAGTTGTGTGTATGCTTGAGTCCGAGGAATATCCCATTCCAAGAGAGGTTAGTATTCTAACGTACCGCATAACAAGAAAGATATATAACAGGTTAATTAGTAATGGTAACAAGGAATATGTTAATTTCAGGACTGAAGACGTTCTAAAACTCGAGAGGGGAGTATGGACTCGGACATTGACATGAGTGCACCTTACTCAAGATCACAGAGCAGGAGACAGTAATCTGAGTAATTATCAACATGCATAAGCTTTCAAAGAGATTTATGATTATGAGGAGATCTCTACTATTCTTTGAGCTGGTTCTTGTGCATTTTCTGTTATTATTTTTCAGTTTTTGTGTGGTTTTGATAGGGATTAGTAGACGATAGATTATTGCTTGTACATGGGATTGGTTTTGTATTTAGAACCCCTACATCAACGTAATAGATTGGTATGCACAGTATTATAAAATCTTCTGTTCAGAATCTCTGCAGATTTCAAAGCAAATGACAGTATTTTGCTTTGAAACTTGTAAATAATAAATTAAAAACAAAAATAAATAACTTTAATTATATTTATTTCTGTATAATACAATTATATAATTATGAAAATTAAAAATTAAGATTGAGAATATTTTTGCAAAACCATTTATAATAGAACTGGTTGAAGAAACTGGCGTTATCCTTTGTTGCATATTTACTTTTATATTTTTTCACAAATATGACTAACATGAAAAAGTAAAAAACAATATTATAACATTGTGAATATTAAAAAAGTAAGATTGAGAATATTTTTGCAAAACAACTTATAATAGTATTGTTTAAAGAATCTGGCTTTATCCTTCGTTGCATATTTACTTTTATATTTTTCACAAATATGAATGAATATGAAAAAGTATAAAAAAAATAGATGACTGTGAACATAAAAAAAATAAGATTGAGAACAATTTCGCAAAACCACTTATAATAAAACTGATTAAAGAAACTGCATTTCTCTTTCATTCCATATTTACTTTTATATTTTTCACAAATATGGTTTTTTTCTAACAAACTCTCATCGAGAATCTCAATTGGTAAAATGGTATCAGAGCAAAATTGGCTTTCTTCTTCATTTTTTTCGTAATTCTGATTGTTTTTCATCGATTCATTAATTTTTCATCTTTTCATTAATTTTTCATCTTTTCCAATTGATTCAAGTTTAAGAGAAGAATCAACCTAGAAAAATTATAAACATTTTTATATATTTATAAAGATGTGAGTAATAGTTTTGTTTTTCTTTTAGGATTAGTCTTTAATTTTTTTTTAAACTATATCTATATTTAAATATGCTCCTTTTTTAGATATTGTAGTAATTATTATTATTTTTTAATAATTATTATATTTTGTAAATTATGTTTTATTTTTAATTTAATCGTGACACAAGTCAAAATCTAAATCGAAAAACTTGACATGTGTCACGACCATGTGAATTACTAACATCTAAAAATTTGCTACATATTTCAAAGGAAAATTGGCTTTCTCTTTTATTTTGCTTTCTCAATTCTGATTGTTTTTCATCGATTCATCAGTTTCTCATCTTATTCGTTTGATTCTAGTCTAAGAGAAAAATCAGCATAGTAAAATTATAAGAGATTTTATATGTTAATAAAGATGTGAATAATATCTTTTTTTAGGATTAGCTTTTATTTTTTTGGAAAAAATTCCTTTTCTTAATTGAAATATATTATTATTTTTTAAAATTTATTTCTTTTTCTTTTATATATTGTAAATTTTATAGTTTATTTTTATTTTTTTAACAATAGTGATAATTCCTAAATTTATATATTTATTTTTAATCTAATCGTGACACGTGCCAAAACCTAAATCAAATGATTTACAACATGTCACAATCATTTGAATTATTAACTTTGATGCATCCAAATATTCAAAACACAGAGTCTGTTGCGGATCCTTAGCAATTTTAGCTTGTAGTTCAACACTTTATCAACTATTTTTGTCTATTTCGCTACATTGAATACTTCAGTATGCAAGTCAAGTCCTTCGATTATATTGTTTGGTGAAAAATTATGAGAGATTTTATGTGCTTTATAGATGAGGATTGCATTTTTCTTTTAAGATTAGTGTTTTAGCATTTTTTCTTTTTCCAAATTAAAATATCTCTTTTTATTAACTTTTGTTTTGTTTTTCAAATGATATTTTCCTTTTTTCTTTTAGAATTAGTATTTTATGTTATTTCACTTTTCTAAACTGAAATATATTCTTTTGTTTATTTCTGTTTTATTTTTAGTTTAATTGCGACATATGTCAATATCTGAATCGAATTATTCGACATGTGTCACGGTCTTACGAATTATTAACTTTGACGCATCCAACTTTATATAATAAGATCTTCTCCAATTATACCAAATTTAATTAAGATTATATTTAAAAGTCCGATTGTGGAACCGAATTATTTGGATATACTCAAATTTAAACAAAAACCGAAAACTTTGGTTAGTTTTGGTAAAAAAAATAATATCAAAGTACCTGATAACCCAAGCAGAACTGTAACTTATTTTCGTTATTTTCTCGAACCGAAAATCCCAAACTCTCAGGCCTAAACTATTATGTATGATGACTTTTGTACCGAATCATTTTCAGGTGAATCTAGTGGACTGGTTGAAGATGATCATTGGATTGAGACGATCCGAAGAAGTAGTGGATCCAAACATAGAGGTAAGACCACCTACAAGATCACTGAAACGAGCACTTTTGACCGCTCTGAGATGCGTCGATCTGGATTCCGATAAACGGCCAAGAATGATCCAAGTTGTAACAATTCACTTATAATAAATTCAGAATCTGAGTCACATAGCAACAATTCAAAGCAAAATAGCTCACTTATGTTTATAATAAATTGCAAATCACATAGACAAACCATCGGGTCCCGTAGCTCAGTTGGTTACAAAATTGGTCTTATGAGCTGTAGGTCGCGGGTTTTAGTCCCGTCCCGTTGGGACCAGTATTGTAAAATTATGAATTTCTTTTCCAAATTTTTTGGTGTAGTAAATGATATTTATTTATTAAGATCTCTTATATATTAAACTAAATTTTCTTACTAAAGATTGTAGAAAATGAAACTAAAATTAATAGTGAGGTTTATTGATTGTTGTATTTTAATGAATTTGGAAATCTTTTTTGAATTTGATAAATTCATTGATTTTAAAATCAGACAATCAAAATTCAAAGTCAAATATATGAATTATTATAAATCATAGATTCCAGATAAATAGATTTCTTCAAAATCAGGCAAATGGATTTCAATAGTAATCTTGATAGCATGTTTTGTTTCATAAAATAAAATAAAGAAAAGAAAATAATATAAATAATCTATTATACTCTTAAGAAAATAATAAATCTTCCCACATGTTTGTTGCAGTTCTCGCCGTCAATTGATTGTCATGTTCTCTTTATTGATCTTGGGTTACAATTTATTGATCTTGGGTTACAAGAACTTCCTCGTGAATTTTTCGTTATTATTATTAACTTCTTCAAGATCTTTTTTTTTATCACTATTTGTTACTTCTGGAAAATTATCTGATCGATAAAACTTTTGAAAAAAAAGTTATGTAAACCAGCATACATAAGTACGATCTCTCTTTGTGTCTTATAGAGAAAAAGAGATGCAGACTTAAAAATTAGGAATGGAGATTGGAAGATACCAAAAATTCTCTCGATAACATTTCTCAAGGAAGCATGTCGATGGTTAAACAACTCCTTTTCATTTTATGGAGTAGAATCTTGACCAGAAAACTCTTGTAAATGATATCTAACGGTATGGAGCTAGAAAACTTCTGCAATTTGCAAATCCACAATCGACTAGATAAAAATTTTCTAAAAAAATAATAAATTAATTACTTATCTAATGAATAATATAGTTATATATATATATATATATAGTAGTTACTTACCTTCTGGAGTTGGGAATCGATTAGTATTCCTTGTTAAAGCATTATTCAATATTTTTGAGTCATGAACCTTCCCATCCACTAAGCACATATATGAACTCAAGATCAAAATTATATGCAGCCAGCACATTTTGCGATATATCACATTTTCTGTTACGAAAAAGGCTTGCTTCTTTTTTTGGGACCATTACAAATATATGTGTATTATAAATAGCTTTGACACAATCCTGATTATATAAAAAAATTTATGCTTAATAAAATAATAGTTTAAAGCATAGATCATAAAGAAAAATGCATAGCTTAAAATAAGGATAAAATCTGGTACTCTCTCGAGGAACAATGGGTCCAGCCGTAGCCATAAAACTTGGTGAAATTTGATTTAAAGCTCGCAAAACTTCGTGAAGATTGTCGTTTATAGCAAACTTTGATCCTTTCAAAGTGGATTTTGTATAACAATACCTCAAATTTTGGCCAACTATTAAGAGGAAGGATGCGACCATTTCGTCAAGGTGAATATATCTCGTATCGGTTAAAAAACTTCTATATCTGGATACATCTGATATAACTCTCGAAGATGAAGAGGGTCTTCCTTTAACACATTATCTATATAGTCTTGACCAGTTCTTGTGGTTGCATGTGAAACATGACGTTCAATTTGCAATTAAGTTGTCGTTGTAGTCGTTTTCTCAAGCACATCACCTGACAGAAAACTAAGAGCACCAATAAAGTAATATCAGCATCTAACTCATTATCTTCATGCTCGATATATATTTCTCTCTTTCTTCACAAATATCTTGTTCTCCAAGAAGTACTGGATTCATGTTTGATACATTTGACCAAAAAAATACTTGACCCATCAAAAATAAGCACTAACACATAATTAAAATGTGATAGACTAATTTCTAGCGCGTCACTAAACTCTTTGTTATATACATACTACCTAAACAGAAAATCATCAAAACAGAACAATTATACTAGAAAACTAGGCAACCCCCTGAGCTATGCGCAGACAAATGCCATTAACAAATTTGGCATGCTATCAAAGAAGTGCTATCAACAGAAGCTGCACTGAACCAAAATGATCGTTGATTTCGTTTTTGTTTCCAAAAATATTGATGCTGGATTGGTAAATGGTACAAACAATAGATTTGCATATATTAACGGTATTTATAACAATGTGCATAACTAAAATAGTAGCACTGAAAAATAATAGAACACGTAAATAAAAACAATAAAGTGGGCAACTTTAGTGTAGCTGATGAATTTCCATGATATCTTGAGTCCTCTAAGATGAGCAGACGTGTAGAATTTTTTTGTTCGGATGAATTGTCAAGATTAGATAAAGAAAATATCTGTTAATCAGTCTTTCCCGTGAAAGCAAAGTAATCTTATTTGGAAAAGGAATTTTCTTTAATGTTGAATCTTCGTTAGTTTGGCAAAGACTAAGGCATATATTGACATAATCTGGTAGTTCTAAGTCTTTTGTTAATTTTGTAGACGTCAAGGGACTTATCGTTGATGCGCTGATATTCAAAAAAATGTGGTTTCATTATATGGACTCAAAAAAAAAATCTACGGCGGTTATGGATTAGTTTTGGTTGGAACTTCTGCTGGTTGGTTCCATAAAGGACCCAAGTAAATGTTTTAGGTCGTGGCTGGGTCAGGACTTGGCAGGCTTGGACTGAAATATGCATAGTTTTGTCCATGTGCATTATTGGTTGGTTTGGTGAGCTCTATCTTAGTTTCTAGTCCGAAGGAGATACAAAACCAAAGAGAAATAAGAAAAAAACATCAAAACCAACTTCAACATCGAGTAAAAGAAGAAAAACATGAAAACACATAGCATAAAAATTATAATAAAACATACCTTGGTTGACGTAGCTCATCATAAATCAACCTATCACAAACAAAAAAAGTCATTGGACATCCACATAAGGAAAAAAACAAAAAACCAAAATAGGATCAATAATTTATACAGCTGAATTGCACCGAAACTTCAAGACGTGGATACATAGAAATATAAATAGGATTAAGCTTTCATTAACTAAATTATATTTGAACATATTTAGAACATTCCAGCACAGCAATGGCATATTTCTCTGTGTAATATAAAGACAGGGGAGAGAATGACTTACAATGAGCGATGCTCCAAGAACAGCCATCCGCTTAACCCAGTATAAATATTTGGGGGTTGGGCGGAGCTAGTTACTTACAAAAAAAAGAAACTAACCCTAAGACACGTTAAACCCGTGTTTTCTACTGCCTTATGGAGAAACACAGAGAATGCAGAAGATTGTAACTAATCACTTCAACTTAATTTTATAAAAAATATATAAAACAAATATTTGTAAAGAGAGGAATTAGGATTTGTCCAATTACAACATACCCCAAAAACATAAAAAAAAAAGAGTTTATGTAAATAATAAAAGTAAAATTACAATATTTTCACCATTTTGGTTTCCACCCTTTTCGTCACTTTCACATTTAAAACTCTTTCTTGTTGTTCTCCAATGTTCCCATGCAGAAGCATGTTGATTACATTAATTTTATAAAAAAAACTGTACACAATAAGATATTTCTGATAAGAAACTATTTTACACCTAAAGGAAACCAACTATAATATGCAATTATCATTAGAAAACATATTGTTCTAGAAAAAAAAAGAAAAAGCACTGGTTTGTCATTGGTGATGATGGGTCATAGTCATAATTACTGCTAGCTTTCACAAAACTTCCTTTCACTCTTTTTCTCGGGTGATGTTCATTTAGAACAGACCTGACTGATTATAACTTGTGCAATCTTGTTGTCCAGGTGACAACGTCTAAAATAAAATAAGCCCAAATTCTTCAAAGTAATACTCATAGATTTAGAGATGCCAAGCTTCAAACTCTTTAAACGTACTATTTCAAAACTAAAATAAATATTAAAAAGTATTGATGCAAACATGAATATATACGAAGTCCAAAGTATAATAATAAATTTTTAATTTCTATAGATAAGGTAAACGAAACCAATCTATATATAGATTTCTTAGGTGATTAAACACATAAAATTTTAGAGAATTTTTCGAGGATGATAACATCTATGTAAATTAACAGAAGTAGTCACCAAAAAGACTCAAAAATGACAAACCGATACAATAAAACATGCTATAAAAAGAATATATATGTTGAAGCAGAGAAACAATAAACATTATCATTAACTTAAAACTAAACCAATACAAACGTAATAACCCAATCAAGAGAAACACATTAAAACTAAATCTGAAGAATAAAGTCAGAGTACATCATTGGATAACAAATCACAAGAAGCTCTTCCTAATTTCAGATGATTCTCCACATCACCAAAACATAGGAATAGGAGGATCCGAAACAATACCCACAACGCCTTTTTCAAATCCCATTGACTCATCTGCACAATCGCACACACTCAAGATGAAGATCACAAACTACAATAAAAAACAAATAACCGTCAAACAACAATTTGTCAAAAGAATCAAAGATGAATACCAGATTGATATTAAATGGGACTATTAATATATCCTCCTAACCTTTTAACCTGATATATATATATGACTCGTTTCCGTAGAAGACTTTAAAAAACACCAAAAATATCTAAAAGCTCACAAAATAATGTGAAGATCCAATATATTAATTAGGACAAATTAAAATAAAGCATCAAAGAATCAGACAGAAAATAGCAAAATAAAAGGAAAAAAAAATAGATTAATGGAAGAACATACCGTGCCCAACAAACGAACGAAGCTGCAGTTCAATGTACAACAATAAGAAGAACACAAGAAAACTATCAGACAAACACTCAAGGATAACAAAATATTAATTAGAAACACATACTTTGTGAATTTAAGTTAATAGACGGACAAAAAATTTGATGGTGATAATGTAACCTAAAAACATAATGGATCTACACCATCAATACACAGATCAGTTACATTAAGCTAGAGACACAAAACCATCGCAAAGTAAACACACAAAAAAGTATAGAAAAATTAAGAATACTAAAAATATAAGATAACGAAAGATGGTTAATCGTATATATAACATAAAGTATAGGTTGGATTAGGTTTAGCTGTAAATCGATATACAAACGGCTAAGCTAGCTTTTTTTTTTGGCTAAGCTAGCAAAATTGGATTAAATTAGGGTTTGAACTCTAAAATCCCATGAAACAAATTAAACCAAACTATATCATAAAAATCGATACATATTTAATAAATATAAGATTTAGTTTAATTGATAATTTCATTAAGAGTAAATCAAGTAATTTCATATGAGGGGTAAAGAGTAATCAACAATCATAACTCTCAACCACAGTCCAACTTGCTTGCCAATTAATAATATGACTAGGTGTACTGCCCGCACCTTGTGCGGGCTAGAGAATCTACTAATAAATTATTTGAGTTTTATTCCTACTTATGAACGTAAATGATCAAGCTATAGTTTAATCACGTCATCACAAAAGAATTCATAAACATTTAGAGTGTGCGAGATTTATTGTAAATAAATGAGGATAGTAGCAGTCCTATTAAACATTGATTCCGTATAGTCATAGACCTCAGTTTATTTGAACAATCCTAAAGAAGCCAAACAAAATAAAATAAAATCCAATAAAACATATAACAAAACATGTGCATAATTTTCTTCATTGTATTCCAAATCTCGCAGATAAACCAACTAAACACATAAAATCAGAAAAAAAATCCAAATAAATAGAAATGCTAGATATTCTGAAACACTTCTTTATAAATAACATTTATTGTTCGTTTTTTGGTTTTTATTTCTTTAAGATCTTCAAACCAGACCGCGCTGTTATCCGAGAGACAACTTACATATAATTGTCCATGTGAAAATACCAGTATTAGTAAGAAAAGTCCAACTTTCTCTACCCCTGACTTTTGTTTATAGTCATTGCGAAAGCAAGACTTATAAAAAATTGTGGACGTCTCATTCTGAATGGGAATCTAGAACTTCAGGCGGTGAAACAAACATATTTGAGACCTTTTGGCCAACTCTATTTCCTGTAATAAACTTAGCCTCTATCACATATGCTGTCATTTATGTTACAATTAATCTTGTACATTAACAGACCACCTCGAGGATCAATGTTCCTAAGCAACATAATAGCAATTCTAATTTTTAACCTTAGATCATGATTAGGAAGACTTGAAACTTTGATACTATTAAGGTATTCTTGAATATAATAACATTTTTACCTATATTCGATATGTCGATACAATGAATGTATTCTTTAAGTATAAACCATATCACCCGTGGTTAATTAGGTCGAACATATAATTTCAGGATTTTATCCGAGTAAAACATATAAATATAGGCTTTTTTTCTCTCCTGATTGGGATCCACAACAACAAAATCTGCTTATACTTATGTTTCTTTTCAATCTCTGCTAGTGCATCCTTTTACTTTCTAAGACATGTGGATCCTCTATGTCTAGCAACCATTGATTACGCAACACCTTCTTCACCATCTTCACCATCTATGATTTAGTTTGTAGATAGATACAAAGAGATAGACAATGTTATTATCTCTTGTACCATATCAAGTCACAATGGACTAATCTATACATGCATGCTTTGATGCCAAAATCAATAATTTTTGATCATTTTCTCTGCCTATCAAACATAAAAGATCAAGAGCAAAAACTAGAATGAAAAAGTAGATAGGATCCAGAAAAAAAAAAGATATTTCTTATTCCTCTTCTAGACTGCTCTTTTTCTACTTCATTACTATTTCTTTCTATTAATCATCATCATCACATCTTCACATAGATATATTTTAATATCATAAAAAGAGATCATAATTCTACCTTCTTCTTATTTCTGTTTCGAAAAATATATAAAGAACAAAGTGAGAAACAAATGACATTTAAAAAAATTTAATAGAAAAGAAATAAATAACATAATTGAAAACTATAGAACTAAATAGATGTCTCAGAGATTAGAATTGAGACCCTAAAATATATCATAAACAGAGTATCGGAAAGTCATCGTCTCTTTCAAGTTTACTACTAAACATGTTTATAGTTTAGAGAAGTCCTCTATAATATGAATATGCGACCGTCATCAAAATATGGACGAAAAGGGCTTCTCACCCCCCTGAGTTGGGGCTTATCACATTGATATCACCACTTCTGCTTCTAGTTTGTAACTCCAGTTCTCTAGCCTCCTCTCTGATCACGAAAAACCAGAGTTATAGATCATATGACAGCATAAACTTTTGAATGTTATGAGAATGGAGACGTGCAAACATCATATGGAATGAGAAAATTATGAAAGCTACACCAAAGTAAAGAATGAATTAATTGTCAAGACATAACCTGTCTTCTGCAAAGTACACATGTCTACAGCTCAAATGACCCTTAGTACATTGCAGTGATACAGTGAGCTTGATGATTTTTTACTAAAGAAAAAATTGGCTATATATGATTGCAAATAGAAAACTCACGAATTGAGAATGAGAGAATGATAAACTTACTTTTTTTCACTCCACCACCTTTGGAACACATATTTGATGTCTTGAGTCTTAATTATCATGAGCTCTTCTGCGTTGTATTTATTTATTTTTTCCCTGAAAAACATAACTGTATCAAAATTTACAAAACCAAGAGTAAGAGAATCCATGAGGTTAACAATATATGTAAAATTTTGATATGATTAGCAATATATGTAAAATTTTGATATGATTACATTGGTTTATGAACTCCACCAACTGTTTTACTATTGATCATCTTAAAGTAAAACTCTCATATGGATTCTTGAATTCCACCTTCTGCTAAGTTTCTGTAGATAATTAAGATTTTTGCTATTTTACAGAAATCAACAAATCCCTAAAAGAAAATGTGTCACAATATCTAATTAAAAAAATCTATAAACATATTATGTTAAAGGTCTGAGGTGTCAACAACATATTATAGGCAGAAAAATATACCCGTTTAATGCCCTCTTTTTGGTGGTAAGATTAAACTCGAATAACATAACCCTTATGCTTCTCAAGGAGGTCAAACCTTTTTCTCGAAAAGGCCAAGCCTGACAGGTTTAAAAATCAAGACTTGAAAAGACACATTTGAAACAACAGAAGAAAGAGCAATAACAGCTTACAGTTGACATCAGCTCCTTATGAGCAGGCTGTGGAACAACATTACGCAGAACCAACATGTTTGATGGCTTAAACCCTGCAAGTAAGTCAGAAAGCTGTATAATGAAACATAGTTTTTAAACATGAACCTTTAAACATAAGGATATTAGAAACTAAAAAAAGAGAAAAAAACAGAGGACATAATTTAAAAACTGAATAGATATTTTTCATATCTTTTTTTTATCATCTCAATGATGGAAAAAAGATCATTGGAAACTATAGAACTAAAGTGATGTCTTGGAGATTAGAAACCCTAAACGAAAACATCAAGCACAGAGCTAAAGGAAGAGCTCAGCCACAAATAATGAAACTACCGAAAACAATAGTTTCTCGTTAGGTACCTGTTGGTAGATAGAAGCGCAGAAACCATGCAGCTGAACAAAAAGTTCAGATTACCAAATTTCCACTGGAACTCAAAAACGACAAAAGCAATAACAACAAAAAAACAAATCAAATACAAAAATTCAATAGACTAATTATGGTATATAGAACGAACTTTGTTCAACACACCACATTACAGATCGATCTACAAAGGATTACAAACCAGAAGGAAAATAAGAAATAACCCACGAAGAAGACACTAAGACAATAGAGAAATAATATCAACTCTTCAATATTGATATATGTGTACAACTCTTCTGAACTTGATTAATGATTGTATTATATTTATACAAAGAGATTAAGGTTTTGATTTATTCTATGATGTTGCGGCAGATCATATAAACCCAAAAAATACATTCACTAATATAATTAGGTTTGGCCGCAAAGAATATGCAATTAGGTTTATGTGAAAATAAATACCACAATTTAACATTAGTGAAAATGGCATATGAATTTTTATAACCATCGGCCGTAATAATACTTGGTAATACGATTTATATATTTTTTAAAATTAATATTTGATTAAAATTATTCTAATTAACTAATTTCATTAAAGATAAATTAAGTCTTTTCAATCAAGGGGTAAAGAGTAATCAACCATCATAACTTTTAACTACAGCCTAACTTGCTTGCCAATTATTAATATGATGAGATGGAAATCTAAATCATGTACGAAGAATAAAATAAAAAATAAAAATAAATACTTAATAAAGATTTTATTTTAGATGAAGAATAGCAGAACCAACAACTATATGAAGAATACATACTGAAGCCCAGTTTATTTATGTAAATTTTACTTTATAAAAAAGTAAAATACTTTACAAATAATCAATTTTTGTAATGTAAATTTTACTTTATAGAAAAGTAAAATAACCCAATTTTATTTTACAAATAACCTTATTTTTTATGTAAATTTTACTTTATGAAAAGTAAAGTTTTTTTCAAATACGCTGCTCAAATTTTTATTTACATAAATTATACATTTTTAAAAGAAGAAAATAAATGGGTTAAATTTACTTTTCCATAATGTAAAATTTATACAAAAAGATTGAGTTATTTATTTGGAACGAAAAAGAGAAACACTAATTTTCTTCTTTTTTCTTCAAATAACTTTCCATAAAGAATTCAAGCAAAACAATTTCATATATACATATGGGTTTCTAGTTGTCAAAATCATTATAATACAAAATGGTAAAACCTAAAAATATCAATGGAAGGATCAAAAGAACGAGCAAAGAGTTCATTTATTCAATGGAGTCCCAAAAAAAACAAAAAAAATAGATACAATTACTCCTAGAGTGTGTTGTTGCGGGTTTGCGTGATAGTAATGGTACATTCAGCAAGTTTACGGTGGAGAGACGAATACTACTTAATTACTCTCAATCAAACACATGAATGTACTAAAACCTATCAAAACTGTGCAAACAGAATAAGGATTTTGAAAGCAAAATATCAAAGTGGTGCTGAAATTCTTCGCTTCAGTTCTGGGTTTGGATGAGATCCAATCACAAAACGGTTCACGGCACTAGAGGAAGTGTGGGCTGACTACATAAAGGTAAAATTTAAATTCACAAGATGCTAAGAATATATCTACTGATTTTTCATCATGTTAAACTCTTTTTGTTTTTTTGTTTTGTTTTAGGCACATCCAAATTAAAATTTTTGATGATCTTAAAGTTATATTTGAAAAAAATATAGTGTCGGGTGTGCGATTGGATTAGACAATACTATTGATGCTCCAACATGTGGAATTTCAGAAACCAGAAAAGAGCAAATAAATTATAGTGAGGAATTTGACAAATAAGGTTCTAGGAAATCTCAAAATTGTTTATATACACATACAATATATCAAAAAGGTAAACCCAAATAAAAAGAATATTTACAAATATATGTATTAGGAATACAATTTTGAAATTTTGAGATTTCTTATATTTTGAAATTTAAAGGTAAACCCAAATTCTATATCCTAATACCCCCTTCAAGTTAGAGCATACAACTTTGATATGCGCACCTTATCTTTGAACGTAACGAACTCCTTTTTTCTAAGTGTCTTAGTAAGTGTGTCTGCGAGCTGATCATGGGTCGAAACATGTACAGGTTTGATGAAACCACAAAGTATATCATCACGAACAAAATGACAATCCACCTCCACATGACCACATGTTTGGTACGCTCATGAAAAACAGGATTAGAACTAATGTGAATAGCTGGTTTGCTGTCACAAAACAGTGTCACATGGTCATCATGAGTTGCACCCATTTAACACAGCAACGCCTTAATCCATCGAAGCTTGGACATAGCTTCTGTCATAGCGCGATATTCAGCTACAGCCGATGATCGAGAGACCGTATCTTGTTTCTTAATTTTCCACACGATAGGAGAGGACCCATACTGAACAATCCAACCAGAAAGAGACCTCCTTGTCAAAGGACACGCAGTCCAGTCAGAGTCGCACCAGCCACTAACATGGCGAGATGATTCAGCTCGAAGCAGGATATCCTGTCCAAGCGTTCCCTTGAGATAACGAACAACCTTGAGTGCTGCATGGCAATGATCGTCCTTCGGTTGATGCATAAATTGGGACAGAATATGAATAGCATATGTAAGATCAGGTCGAGTAGCTGCAAGATAAATAAACCGCCCAACAAGACGATGATATCGTTCCGGATCGGCAAGTAGTAGAGCTTCGGCCAAGCTCAATTTATGATTCTGTTCAATCGAGAAAGCAGAAGGTTTACAGCCAAGCATCCCCATCTCTTCAACTATATCCAACGCATACTTACGCTGACACAGGTAAATGCCAGACGAATTTTGAGCCACCTCCAAGCCCCAAAAATATTTAACAGTACTAAAATCCTTCATGTGAAAACACAAGGATGAGTAATCCTTAAATGTCTGAATCGCAACACTAGAATTTCTCGAGATGATCAAGTCATCGACATATACCAAAATTCGAAACGAAACATCCCTCCTGGAATACACAAAGAGAGAATAATCCGAGCAAGATTGTGTAAATCCATATATGCGAAGAGCGTCCTCTAGCTTGGCAAACCAACATCAAGGGGCTTGTTTTAAACCGTATAGAGATTTCTGCAGTCGACACACACGCGTTTCGCCTAGTGGATGGAACCTTGGTGGAAATTTCATGTACACCTCCTCATGTAAATCACCATGAAGAAAGGTATTGTGGACATCCATTTAGTGAACCTCATGATTCCATTTAGCAGCAAAATCCAAGAACAAACGAACCGTCTTCATCTTTGCAACTGGAGCAAACGTTTCGTCATAGTCTAGGCCTTCTTCCTGATGATTGCCCAAAACAACTAGACGAGCTTTATATCTCTCAACCGTGCCATCTGAGCGGTACTTCGTTGTAAACACCCATTTACAGCCCAGAGCTTTCTTATTGGGCAGTAAATTGTTCAAGGTGCCATGTGCCAAATGCTTCAAGAGAGCGATACTCTGTATCAACAGCCTTGCCCCAATGCTGATATTACATGGCCTCATTAAACGATTTTGGTTCAACATTAGTAGTTAAAGCCAGCAAAATGTTTTGATGGTTTTCGGAAAAACGATGAGAGAAAACATAATTAGCAAGGGGATAGACCGCACCTGAGGAAGACTGAGGTATGGGTGAGAGTAAGACAAGAGAGGAAGAGAGACTAGGAGCAGCATGTTTATCAACCACATAGTCACGGAGTTTGAGTGTACAAATCTTTTTCCGATGACCACGGCCTAGCATTATAGTAGTAGTATCACCAGTGACATCCGAAGCATTCTCCAGACCAGAAGAATCAGAGTTGTTATTAGCGGAAGCAGAGTTATCACTACTGGAGTCTGAAATTTCACCAGCAACATCAGAGTCAGAACTTTCACTAGCAACATTAGAGTCAAAATCATCGCTAGTTGCATCGCCACCAGTATCAACGGGAGGGTCCTCCTCCAAACCAGAAAGCACCGGAGAAGTTAAAACGTGCTCATTCACAATCTGAGGGGATACAGAATGCACAAACGGAAAGACTTTCTCCTGAAAAACTACATCACAGGATGTAAAAATAAGTTGACATTCTAAATCCAGCAATTTCCAACCCTTTTTTGCCGTACGGATAGCCTAAGAAGACACAACAACGACTTCGAAAGGCAAATTTATCACCCTTATGGTCTAGATTATGAGCATAAGCTAGACAGCCGAACACACGTATGTGTTTGTATCCGGGACTATGACCATAAAGTCTTTCAAATGGCGTCTGATGGTGAAGTAAGGCGGAAGAAGTCCGGTTGATTAAATAGCCAGCTGCAAGAACACATTCGCCCCAATACTCAATAGGCAGATTTGCTTGGAATCGAAGGGCACAAGCAACGTTTAAAATATCTTGATATTTTCATTCAGCTCGACTATTCTGTTGGGGTGTATGGACACATGACGTTTCATGGTGAATACCTTGCTCCCTAAAGAACCGTGTAAGACAAAGAAACTCACTCCCATTGTCGCTCCGTATAATCTTAACCTTCTTTGAAAACTGTCTTTCGATCATGGCAACGAAATTACGTATCTGTTGTTGGACTTGTATCTTATCAGAGAGAAGATACAGCCACACAGCCCTAGAATGATCATCCACGATAGTTAAAAAATATCGAGATCCACATAAAGCAGTT